TTTCTGTGTTATCTTATAGGAGTTTTATAGCTTTGTGTATTACATTTAGGTCTGATTTCCATTTCGAGTTAATCTTTGTGAAGAGTGTAGAGTCTGTGTCTAGATGCCCTCTGTGGCATGTGGACGTCCAGTTATCCCAGCGCCACTTGCTGAAACGAGTATCTTTGTTCCATTGTGTTGCTTTTGCTCCTTTGTCAAAGACCAGTTGACTACATTCACGCAGGTCTCCTTCTGGGCTGTTCTGTTCCGTGGATCTGTTGTCCGTCCTTTCCCCAGTACCACACTGTCCGAACCACTGTATCATCAGCCTTGCAGCCAGGCTGCGCCAGTCCTCCAGCTTTGTTCTCCTCCCTCAATCCTGGGTTGGCTGTTCCGGGTGGTTTCTTTCTCCATAATAATTTTAGAATCACTTTGTCAATATCCACAAAAGAACTTCCTGGGGTTTTGGTTGGGATTGCATGGAATGTGCGGATCAGGTTGGGAAGGACGGGCATCTTGACAACGTTGAGTCTTCTGCCGTGAACCCGGGATATCTCAACAATTATTTAGTTCTTTGGTTTCTCTCATCAGTTTTGTAGTTTTGCTCATATCTATTTTATATATTTTTTGGATTTATACCTAAGCGTTTTATTTTGGGGGATGCTAATGAAAGTGGTACTGTATTTTTAATTTCAGATCCCACTTGTTCATTTCTAGGAAATACAGGAAAGTGATTGGCTTTTGTTTATTAACCTTGTTAATAATCCTGCAACCTTGCTATACTTGCTTATTAGTTCAGAAGGCTTTTTGTATATTCTTTCAGTTTTTTTACATAAGTGATCATGTCATCTGGGGAAAAGACAGTAATATTTCTTCCTTCTCAATTTGCATATCTTTTATTAATAGTTCCTTTTCCTGCTTGTTGTATTAGCCAGGACAGCCGGTACAATGTTGGAAAGTGGAGTGTGGCGCCAGCAGTGTACAGTAAGTCCTCACCGCCATCGTGGATAGGTTCTTGGAAACTGTGACTTTAAGCGAAACGATGTACACAACAGGCCCTCGGTAATGTCCTTTTGTTCAATATCATTTTGTTACGATGTTGATGAGAAAAAAGTTGGTTTAATTATATGTCATTTTGTTTAAAGTTGAAGTTTCCAAGAACCTATCGACGACAACATGAAATGAGGACTTACTCGTGTGTGTGTGTAGAAACAGGTGTGGGTCACTTTGATCTCACAGGCAAATGCCTGAATGGTGTGTGTTAAGGAAGTGGTGGGAAGCAGAGAGCCCCGTCGGCGAGGCAGGAGAGACACCTCTAAGTCCGGGTCTCTGGGCACGGCGTGGGCCGCTTGGGTGTGGCGTTCTCGTGCCCAGCGGCAGCCTTTGCTGTGTCCTTCCCGTTACGTGGTTTTGTGGCCCATTTGATACAGAGTTCAGTTCGATTGGTCCTGTGCATATTACATTTTGGGTTGTCCCTCTGTCTTTGTTGGTTTTTTAAAAAATTAAGTATGTGAAAGGTGGTCTTACTAATAACCTAACAGAGGAAAATAAACTCTCAAACAGAAAGTAAGAGAAAAGAACGCACAGCACGTAATTGCCCCTTCGAAGGAAACTCACAACACAACTACCCTGTTTTAATGAAAACTCCTGTGGCCTAACTCGTCATGTCTAAGACTTAGTGTTCTCAGCCTTGAAGAGCCCTAAGCGGGTAATAGGGGTACAAACTCCCCACTTCAGTTCCTGCCAAAAACCAGATTCCAAGGACTCAGATAAAATCAGCCTCACAGAGGGAAAAAGAAAAAAAAAAAGAGCAGTTGCTTCTGTTATCAGTCTGCTGAAGCAGAGTTTTAAAAAGCCATTTTTACCCTTTAAAACCACTCAGCCACTTTTCTTCTACTGCCTGGCACTACCTTCTACCTGTTCTTCAAGCCGTGGCCACTCTCTCTCTCTCTCCCTCTGTCCCCCACCGCCCCTTGCTATCTCTCTCTCTTTTTCCTAGGAAAATAAATTAATACTGTACGTCTTTCTATCCTAAACTTTGAGAATTCTTTCTCACCCACACCGTGAGCACCTCGTAAATGCCCACCCTTCGTTATGTAAAGAATAATCGCCAGAACTGGACGGAACGGCATGCTCCAAGGGCTTCCCCTCTCCCTGTCTTTTCCACCCTGTTCTCACCCCACTATCCTGTTCAGGCTGTTCCCATCCATCCTTTGCAGGTGCTGGGTCTTACTATTCTGAACAATGCTGTGTTTCCTTGTATTCAACATGAACAGATACACATTTTATTATTATTCATTTTTCTTAAAGAAAAAGTTGCATACTACAGATACTGTTTTGAGTTTGCATTTTCACTTAACCGTATACCCAGGAAACCACTCCGTGAGCTCACAGCGCACTCGTTCAGTCACTGCTGTAGCTGCACAGCCCCCCACTGGGTAGCGTTCAGCTACTCCCCCACTGGAGGGCATTTAAGGCATTCAAAATTGCAGTTGCAAACAGTGCTGCAATTACTAATCTTGAGCCGTTTTTAATTGTTAAAGGTTTGCGTTCAGGGCAAATTCTTAGAAGTAGGATAGCCGGATTTCACCTGCAGTTGTGTTAGCTATTGCCAAATCCCCTGTATACTAGGCAGCCTCCAAATTGGCCTCAATAATCCCTGCTCCCCAATATTTATACCTTTGTGTAATCCTCTCACATTTTACCAGAGTTGGCCTAGTGACCAGCAGAATATGGCAGAGGTGATAATTAGGTCATTTCCAAAATTAGCTTATAAAAGACCATGTGTGTATAGAACCTCAGTGGAGTCCGAAAAGTGAAAACCATCTTGAAAAATCGCAATGTTGGAGCACTCACGTCTCCTGATGGCAGAGGTTACTACGAAACTAAAGTAACCAAAGCACTATGGTACTGGCATATAGACAGACGTATCAACCGGTGTTATAGCAGAGAGAGCCCAGAAGTAACCCTCACCTATGTAATCAAAGGGGTTTTGGCAGTGGGGCCAAGACCATTCAGTGGGGAAAGGTGCCACAGCCATTGTGGAAAACAGTAGAGGTTTTACTCAAAAACATGAGCAATCATCATGGTCCCTAAGACCCAGAAATCCTACTTCTGGGTGTGTGTCCAAAGCAAAGGACATCAGTATCTGGCAAAGACATCTGTGACCCATGTTTACCGCAACGCTATTCACAGTAGACCAGATCTGGAAACAACCTAAGTGTCCCTCAGCAGATGAACTGATAAAATGTGGGTGTGCATGTGTATATATTTACAGGTGTGCACATATATAAAATGGAGTATTATTTAGCCTTTAAAAGGGAAGGGAAGCCTGTATAATCTCACATATATGAGGAATCCAAACAAGCTGAACGCACAGAAACAGAGAGCAGAATGTTGGTGGCCAGAGAATGGGGTTGGGGCAGGGAATGGGGAGATGTTGGTCAAAGGACACAAACTTTCAGTTAGAAAATGTATAAATTCTGAGATTTAATGTACAACATGGAGATTTTAGTTAATAATACTGTATTGCATGCTTGGAATTTGCTAAGGCAGAAGATTTTAAGTTTTCTCACCACACTCAAAACAGGTAAGTAGGTGAGGCAATGGGTGTGCGAATTAGTTTGACAGTAGTGAGCATTTCATCTATCATTACATTACACGCCCTAAGTATATATGAATTTTATTTATCAATAACACCTCAGTAAAGCTTTTGGGAGGGGAGATGAAAGGTCCTGGAAAAACGGGCTATCTACACACAAAAGAATGGAGTTGGACCCTTGCTTTATACCATATATAAAAATTAACTCAAAATGGATTCAAAACCTAAATGTAAGAGGTAAAGCCATAAGATCCTTACAAGAAAACAATAGGGAAAAGGCTTCATGACTTTGGAACTGGAAATCATTTCTTGGTTATGAAATCAACCACACAGGCAGCAGGAGAAAACTAGATAAGAGGGGCCTAACCGATATCACAGATTTTGTGCATCAAAGGACAATAATAAGAGAATGAAAAGACGACCCACGGAATAGGAGAAAACGTTTGCAAATCACATATCTGATTAAGGATTAATATGCAGAGTTTATAAAGAACTCCTACAACTCGAGAATAACAACAACAAAAGCCAATTCCTATATGGAAAAAGGAGTTGAACAATTTCACCAAAGATACACAGGTGGACGATAAATACATGGAAAGATGCTCCACATCACTAAACGTGACGGCTGCTACCCAAAAAACACGTGCCGGCCGGGTGTGGTAAGGGCGGAACCCGTGTGCATTGCTCGTGGGAATGTAAGGCGGTCCAGCAGCTCTGGAAAACAATAGTGATTCCTCAAAAAAATAATCGCAGGACCCAGGTGTTCCACTTTTAGATACGTCTCCTACAGTCCTGAGAGCGAGGATTCAGAGACGTTCGCACACCCATGTGCACAGAACCATCGTTCCCAGCAGCCTGCTGGTGCCAAAGTCGGATTGTCACACATGCGGTGGAGACACCCCAGACAAGCACGGCGTAAGCACGCAGAGTGTGCCGCTCTCAGCCGCGGCGCGACTGCATCCACGTCCAAGCCACAGGTGAGACGGCCCTGGGGCTGTAAGGGTCCGTCACAGCGTCCTGACCCAGAGACGCCCCGGGGACTGCTGGGAGCGTCACCCGGTCACATAAACCTCTCTGATCCCTTCTTTCCGGGAGTTCTGGTCCCCTGCACCTTTTCCCAGCCCGGTGCGGCGAGCGAAGCGTGGGACCTGCCGCCACCTCGCGGTCACCTGAGCACGTGCAGAGTTTTGTTCCGCGCCCGCTCCCCGTTAGATCCCGGATCCGTTTGCAATTCATCCCTCTACGTGGCTGTGGTCCAGCTTGACCGTCGTGACTTCCCAGACGGCCGGCGCACCCGTCATGCACCGGGCGTCCGCTCCCCCGCCCGAAACACCCGCGGACGGACGCGACCTGCACGTCCCGTCCGTCTGTCCCCGCCCGCGCTTTCCGGGTCCTCCCCCGGCTCGTTCTTCCTCGCGAGCTGCGGCGAGCACGCGTCTACGCGCACAGAAACCTCGGCGTTTCGCCGTCGTCAGGTCCCATTCCTGAGTAAACCCGGGGACGCCCGCGATCGGGCTGTTCCGCGGCGCAGCAGAGGCCCCGGCCCGTGGACGATTAACCGCAGAAATGCTTATTGGGAGGAAGACACGACAATTCACACAAATCGCCGCCTCGAAAACGCCCGGGAACCGGCTCTCGGACTCCGCCAGCGCCGGCGCTTCCGAGGGGCGGGGCGGGGAGTGCGGGGGAGGACGCAGCCCCGCCCCCTGCCCCAGGCCGGAGGTGGAAGTGACGTCAGGGCGCCGCCGGCTCTTCCGGCGCTGGCTCTGCTGTCCTACGGCCATTTCTTTCCCGGTGGCGGCCCGCCCCGGCGTCGAGGGGTTCCGCAGCGGGGCCCGCGCGTGTCCGGGCCGCCCGAGGCACCTGGTCCGTCCGCCCGGGGTTCCGCCCGCCCGCCGTGCCGCACTCCGGGCCCAGCCTGGTTCCGGAAGGACGAGTCGGCGCCGGGCCTGCCTGCCGCGCCGGTGAGCGGCGCCTGGAGGGGCCTCTGCTCCCTTCGCTCTGAAGATTTCCGCCGAGACTTCGGCTTCGGCTTTGCCGTTTCTGTTTATCTTTGAGACGTTATCTGCGGGTAGGGAGACGAGCCGGCGCGCGGGCGTCTAGGGCGTGCGTGTTCACATGAACAAACGGCAGGCTGTGTGCACGCAAACCTTCCTTTTAACGGTAAAGAAAACCGAGAAGGCTCGGCCGCCGCCCCGGCAGCCTCAGTTCGGCCCGCCGGTCCCCGCGGGGTCGGACTAGGTACCGTTCCCCGTGCTTTTCTTTAGAAAAATCCGAGTCTGATGAAAATTTTAACATACAGTTTTGGTTGTAGATGATTTGCTCGTTTTTAGCATGTGCATGTTTCTCTCTCCCAGATAAATAATTACATTTTATAGCGAACTATGTGTGATTGTAAGTACATTGAGAATGAATTGCACACGTGATACCTCACTCTTAAATACTTAGTAAAGCATCTCCCAAAGGTAGACATTGTACTACTAAAACGACAATACTAGTATTTCAACGTTTCACCTAAGAAAATGAAAAATAATGTCACCTAATGTCCACCGTACTAACTAGAATTCTCCGCATTGTTCCAACATAGGCTCTTGGGTGCATTTGGATCTAACACCCATGCAAGGTTTGTACATTCCTGTTGTTTGTCTTTTAGTGTCATTTGACCTAAAGCAGTTACCGTAGTTTCTCTGTCGCACTGACTTTTGAAGAGTCACACTTCTCTTGAAACTCCATGCCATCAGATATTTTGTATTCTCCAGGTGCGTTTACATATTCCTTCATTTCTTGCTATTTCCAGTAAACTTGTAGCTGGGTCCAGAGGAGAGGTTGGCAAAGGGCCAGTAGTAAGTACTTTATGCTTTTGGGGCCGTAAGGTTTCTAACCACTCAGTTCTCCGGTAAATGCTTCCTGTCCCGCGGCTGGGTGTTCCTTCTCTGCTGCGTGCTGCACAGGGGCCAGCCACAAGCTGTTTCTCAGAAGTACAGCACTCGCCTGTGGAGGGCTGCGATTTACTCTGAAGCGCAAGATGGCTGTGCCCTAAGTCTGCTGTCGGCGCTGGCCGGCACCTGTTTCCCGTGGATGTTCTCATATCATTGGGTCTGCTGGATCATTTAGGCAAAGTTGAGAAGTTTGTCCTCCAGCCTCAACTTCCTCTGGTCCACATTTGCAACCAGGAAGCCCGACGGGCCACTGTGTACACTGTTAAGGCACAGTCGAATGTCGTATGTGCTGCCTCTAGCGTTCGTTTTCGGTCATCGGTGGCAGGAGGTGCAGTGACGTGGAGGGGCTGTCTTTCCACGTCCAGGCCTCTGCATCTCTAGCCCCCGATTGTGCATATTTATTGTAAAGGTGTCTGAAGTGTTTTCTGTTTTGTGCCCTTGGATCCAGTGACCGTAACGTCAGCATAGTGTACCAGGGTGGTGTTTCGTCCAGTGACAAACCTCTGGAGACTGTTATGGCAGAGAACCAGATAAATGATTATATATTATTTATGTCACATTTTTAAAAAGGGTAAGGAGTCTAACTAAGTAGGTGCCACCAAACTAAACACATTTGTGGACCTTTCACCAAGGAACCCCCAGTTTGAGACACCTGGTAGTAAGTACAGTTAATACTGGGAGAATAGATGTATTTTTTATGACGCTGTGAAATTTCAGGGTTTCGGTCCCCTTGTCGTTAGGATAACAATAGAGAAATTCTAGCCCTGCTTTTCATCTTGTCAAAAAGTAACAAGCTCAGAAGTCCGGGCTTCGGAGACAGACTGACCTGTGTTCGGGTCTTGCTCCATCACTTCCTCAGCAGATGACGTGGGACCGGTCGGTGTTCTCCGAATCTGGTTTGTTAGCTGTCAGATGGGGCTCATCTGTTGTGGGGGGCTGTGGTGCTAACTGAGTGAGCTCGTATATACAAGGCTCCTGCCCGGTCTTCTGACGCGTGCTGCACCTCGGTGAATGGTGACTGATGTTATAATAGTCGTGGAGTAAACTGGTTTCAGTGGCTTTCGTGTGTGTCACCTGCAGAAACACAGCCCCTGTGCGATGTCCAATGACGGAGCAGTGATGCTCCTGAGCGTGGCTGCTGGGCAGCAGGACCGCAGAGTCCCCGCACCGAGAGGGGTGGAGACTGCACCGTCCATCTAGACGCGCTGCCTCCCTGAGTGGTCCTGGCGTCCAGGGAAGGAGCGTTCTGACGCGTTTCACCATCATCGTCACGGGATGGCGGCCGTTGGCTTGTCCCAGGGTGAGTCCTGGTCGTGCTCTCAGAGGTGCTGCGTTGGGTCCCTCCACAGTGCAGAGTCCTGTGGTCTGGGCCAGGGCAGTCACGCTCCTGGTGCATTTCGGAGGTGTGAGGTGTGCCAGAGCGTGCCGTTGTGTGAGTCGGCCCTGGCATCGTGCTTTGGGAAAACGCAACGCATACTCTCCTTGGTGAGTTTTCTCGCCATGGGTGAATAGAGACTGCCGTGTCTCAGGGCTTACTCCCTTACCCGTAACGTGAGACTGCTACGGTTCGCAACGGGCGGCACCCCCCCTCGCCCTTTTTCTGTCTCTAGGTGAGACAGACTGTGCTGACCATGTATGGCAAGTTGTGTGTGTGTGTGTGTGTGTGTGTGTGCGCCCGCGTGCCCACCAACACGCACTTGAGTGTGCAGCATAACATGGGAATTTCCTACTAGGACGGAAAGACTTTCCGGCACAGGAGCATGCGCATGACCATCGGCTCTGGGTTCTCACCCTTCCTTCTTTTTCAGGAGGTCATGTTTCCGGGGACCCCATTTGCCTTCATGAAGCAAAGACACAGGCAGCTAGGATGGCGGCCGGCTGTCTGACGAATGGTCAGGTAAGCTGCAAGGGTGCTTTCTGAAAAGGACGTGCTGCCTCTACAAGTAGATTTGTCTCGCCGGCTTCTCAGAGCACACAGAGCCCCCGCAAGGACCGGGCTCTGGTTGCATTTCCACAGGCAGCCGAGCCTCCGTGTCGGTTACCGTTGCTATGGAAATCGTCCCAGTGTTTCCACATCGCTTCCTACTTTGACCCTCACGGTGCCAAGCGCATGTTTCTTATTTTGCTGCGTGCTCTGGCCATGGCGAGGGGGAGGAAAGTGTCCTTTTCTCCAGGTGTTTATTCGTTCGTCACCATTTGTCACGTGTTTGTGACGTGCTCAGGATCATGCTGTGATAGGAAATGAGGCGGGAAGAGCTCCCAGTCTAGTTGGGTGAGATGAGTCACTGTGTGAGGTGCCGGTAAAGCCAGCGGCTGGAGGAGCTCGACGGTCACGAGCGCGGACAGGGAAGAGCTCCCAGGACCGCGGAACCCGGGGGGTGGACGGCGGAGCCCTCACAGTCCCCTGTAGGCATCAGGCCCCAGCTCCTGATCCCCCACCAGTGTCGACGGACGTGTCACGTGCCTCAGACCAGTGTGTGTGTGATGACTCGGGACTCGGTGACCTTTGACGACGTGGCCGTGGGCTTCACCCGGGAGGAGTGGGCTTTACTCGACTCAGCGCAGAGGGACCTGTACAGAGACGTGATGCTGGAGAACTACAGGAACCTGGCCTCAGTAGGTAAGACCGCCATCGCTCCTTGTGGTCTCCTGTGGCACAGGTACACGTTACGCACTTGCTGTGTTCCAGGATCGGTGATGTCAGATCCGCACACAGTGGAGAATAACAGAGACACAGTCGCTGCACTGATGGGTTTTAATCTAGTGTGGTAATCTTCAAACTGTGGTCCCAGGATCAAGAGCATGACCGTCAGTGTGTTAGAAACCTGCATGCTCAGACTCCACCCGAGACACACTGAGTCAGAGCGGAATGTGCTGCTGGCGCCTGTCCTCTGTGTCTGACAAGCCTTCCAGATGAATCTGACTCACTCCAAAGTTGAGAACCACTGGGTAGTGGTTTCCCAAGTGAAGGAACATCTCTTTTTGCACTTACATTGTCTTCTATTTGAATAAAAGTCTTTTTTTTTTTTTTTTGGAGACAAGGGCTCTTCCTGTCACCCTGGCTGGAGTGCAGTGGCATCATCACAGCTCACTGCAACCTGAAGCTCCTGGACTCAAGCGGTCCTCCTGCCTCAGCCTCCCAGAGTGCTAGGATTAGTTCGTCTTCCTGTTTTTGAGACATGTACTAGAGCTTGAATGTGGGGATCAGGGTCAGCAATAACCAGCTTCCTCAGGGCACAGAAAGATGGGGTACTTGCATTTTGAGCTGTTGTAAAATAATTTCCCTACTTGCTTTAGAAGTGTAGTTCCTGATTCCTAGGTGGGTCTGTCATGTCTTGCACGAGCCTCCTCCACTGATGTGTCTTGCCCTGTGTACAGGGAGTCGCCTGTTCAAACCCAGCGTGATCCGTTGGCTGGAGGAGGCAGAGTGGATGGCAGTGCAGAGGGGAGAGCTCCATGGTAAGTGCTCGTGAGGGACATCCCTGCCAGTGAGAAGGTCAGTGTGTTTGGAATAATGAGGAAACTCGTAGAGATGCGCCGTGTCACAGAACGTGAGGCCGTTGGACTTGGAAGTTTCGGGGTGTCTTCATCTTCCCGTGTTTCTCTGTTTTCCATCTGATCCAGACTTTCTGTGATCTCACAGACGACCTCCTGTTTTGTTGAGTTTTGGGTTTTAATGCGTGTTCCGGCCTTTAATGTTTTGTTCCGGCCTTCTTACTTTCCTTCCTTGGTTATACTGTTTCTGTTCACCTTCACATTTAATTTTTGTGGAATAAACTGTTTAAAAAATTCCTGAAATTTGACCCCAAGTCTATGATTGCCAAATTTAGATGCAGCCGAACTGCTTAAGTCTGTCTTTATTTTTCTAACGTGTTTAATATGAAAACAATACAAATGAACATTACCATTTTTAACTTAATTTGACCTACATTTTGTTTTGCAAACCCTTATATATTTTTCTGTTTTACTTCAGAATGGCAACTGAAAACCAGTGGGTCAGCACTTTGGCAGGATATTATTTGTTTAAAAACATCAAATGGGATTCAGATGGTAAGATGAACAAGAGAGATTTTTTATTTGCCATATTCAGAAAAGATTGAAAAGTCCGTTATAGAAAAGCAGCACAAGTGAGAGCTACTTGGGAGGAGCCACATTTATCCAAGGGGAGGAACGTCTCTAGACGGTGCTCTGGGTGAGACAAATTTGGGAGTTCCCTAAATCTAGCTTGGGGCTTCAGAGTCCCCCGCAGCACTCATTACCTTATCTGTAACTAGCTCTCGGAATTTTTAAAACAATTCTGTGAAAATACATAGGAATCTATCGAAGGTCAGGACGGATGACACAGGGTCCTGGCAATGGGTTTCCTTAATTCAACCGGAAAGAAATCTACAGGGCAAAAACTGTGTGCATGTAAGGAAAATGAGAACAATCATCAGCATCACAGTAATGTTTCTTCGAGGGGTGAAATCCGTTTAGTCTCAGAAATCCTCTAATCATTGTTCATCCGCAGGCAGGAAGCCACCATGGAAGGGAAGCCGGTGACTGTGAGCGGCGTGCAGTGTTTGCTGAGCGCTGGCGCCTCAACCCGCACGCGAGAACTCAAGGTGCAGGGAACACTCACATCTCTGATCGGTGTGGGAACTTTTTTATTCCCCACAAGAAAACCTCTACTGGAGGGAAACTTCCTGTGTTTAATCCGTGTGCAAAAGCCTGTAGCTCCACTGCAGATGTTGTTTCCCACGGAACGTGCAAGGGAGACAGATCCCTGGACTGCAGGGACGGTGGGAAGGATTTCCTCCGTCAGTCCTACCTTCAGGCCCATGTGAGAACTCGCACTGGAGAAGAGCTCTATGGAGGGAAGCAGAGCGGGAGGGCCCTCACCCGCCTCACGAGCCCTGCTATGCCTGTGGAGGTGCGTGCTGCAAAGAATGCCCCCGTGTGTGAGGAACGTGGGAAATCATGCAGATCTCCTTCCGACCTTAAACTTCACACGCGAACCCACGCTGGGGAGAAACCCTGTGAACTTACGGAGTGTGGGAATTTCTTGGCAATTTCTTCCAGCCTAACTGAACATGTAAAACTTCGTAGCGGAGAGAAACCCTATCAGCATAAGGAATGTGGGAAAGTCCACAATCGGTTTTATCTACTAACTGAGTGTTTAAAAACCCCCAGGAGGGAGAAACCCTTTGAATGTAAGGTATGTGGAAAATCTTTTAGAAATTCCTCATGCTTGAATAACCATGTTCGAATTCACACTGGGGTAAAACCCTATAAATGTGAGTATTGCGGGAAAGCCTTCACTGTGCGCTGTGGCCTCACTAGACACGTACGAACTCACACTGGCGAGAAGCCGTATGTGTGTAAGGAATGTGGGAAAGCCTTCTGTACATCCTCAGGCCTTATCGAACATGTAAGAACTCACACTGGAGAGAAGCCCTACGAATGTAAGGATTGTGGGAAAGCCTTCACTGTTTCTTCCAGCCTGACTGAACACGTAAGAATCCACACTGGAGAGAAACCCTATGCATGCAAGCAGTGTGGAAAAGCCTTCACTGGGCGCTCAGGCCTTTCTAAACACGAACGAACACACACTGGAGAGAAACCCTATGCATGCAAGCAGTGTGGAAAAGCCTTCACTGGGCGCTCAGGCCTTTCTAAACACGAACGAACACACACTGGAGAGAAACCCTATGAGTGTAAGGAATGTGGGAAAGCCTACAATAGGTTTTATCTACTAAATGAACATTTAAAAACTCACACACAGGAGAAGCCCTTTGAATGTATGGTATGCAGAAAATCCTTTAGAAACTCCACGTGCCTGAACAAGCACATTCAAATTCACACTGGAATAAAACCCTATGCGTGTAAAGTATGCGGAAAAGCCTTCACTGTTTCTTCCAGCCTAACCGAACACATACGAACTCACACTGGAGAGAAGCCCTATGAATGTAAAGAATGTGGAAAAGCCTTCACGACCTCCTCACACCTGATCGTGCACGTAAGAACTCACACTGGAGAGAAACCCTATCTGTGTAAGGAATGTGGGAAGGCCTTTGCTTCTTCCTCACACCTCGTTGAACATGTAAGAACCCACACTGGAGAGAAACCGTATGTATGTAGAGAATGCGGGAAAGCCTTCCGTGCTTCCTCACACCTACATAAACATATAAGAATTCACACAGGACAGAAAGCCTATAAGTGTAAGGAATGTGGGAAAGCCTACAGTAGGTTTTATCTATTAAGTGAACATTTAATAAATTACACCGAAGAGAAGCTTTTTGAATGTAAGGAATGTGGAAAATCCTTTAGGAATTCTTCATGCCTTAATCATCACTCTCAACTTCACGCTGGCGAGAAACCTCATTAATGTGAAGCATGTGGCAAAGCCCTCGGTGATGCTGGTCCACTTTGGAGACGTGGACATACACTCCTGAGATGCCTCCCCAGTTTCAGGAACACGGGAGAGCCATTGGAATCCGATCACAGTCCAGCACGCAGGAGCTCACCGTGGACCCGTGCGATGTGAGAAACACGGAAAGCCTTCACCGTTCCCTTGGGTTTTCCTAAATATGTGAATCTCGGAATGCCGAGACACCCTGTTGATGTGTGATATGTGGAAAAGTTGTAGTTGTGCTAAACAGTGTTCACTTGTGATCTCACAGTGGAAAAAAACCTTACAAAGGTAAGAAATGTTGGAAAGTCATCGTTTTTCGCATTACGTTATTCCTCAACCTTTAGCAAACATGGTGCTTCACACTCAGCAGAAATTGAAGGGACAGGATATGAGAATTGCTCCGAGTCCTGAAATCCTGTTTGCTGACAGACACACCACTTTCTGGGTGGTTCTGTAGATATATTTTGAACGTTTATGGTCATTCCTGGGGTGTTACGTCTTCCCTTCCCCTATAGCAACACCATTCCAGTCTAGTTGCTGCACCTTCTCAGTTGCAGCCTGTATTAAGTGGCCTTCAGAATTCGTACTATTTTTTTTTTTTTTTTTTTTGAGACAGATTCTCACTCTATTGCCCTGGATAGAGTGCCGTGGCAGTAGCCTAGCTCACAGCAACCTCAAATTCCTGGGCTCCAGCGATCCTACTGCCTCAGCCTCCCAAGTAGCTGGGACAATAGGCATGTGCCACCATGCCCAGCTAATTTTTCCATTTTTAGTAGAGATGGGGTCTCGCTCTTGCTCAGGCTGGTCTTCAACTCCTGAGCTCAAGCAATCCTCCTGCCTTGGCCTCCCGGAGTGCTGGGATTGCAGGTGTGAGCCACTGAGCCTGGCCAGATTCCTACTTAATCCTACTGTAGCAGCGTGGCTTGTCGTGCTCATACACATCCACCTACAGTGGCTCACGCTGGCCGAGGTGGGGACATAAGGTAGACCTAATTGTCACAGAAATACTCTCGTTCCTCCCTCACACCTTGTCCTTACAGATAAGAGATCAGAGTGGAAGGAAGGGCCCTTGGGTACACACAGGCAGCACCACAAGGTCTCAGTCTGAGTGATCCAAATTTGTGTACTTCTGACACGCCAGCAACCTTGGCTTACGGATTCTGTGGCTGTCAGGGCTGCAGCGACCTGATTCCTCTTTGGCACTTAGTCACCCAGTGATGGTCTTGGAACTCAAGGAAAACAGTAGATCCAGGTAGAAGAGACCTGTGCACCTTGGTGTTGTGTGTGTTTGTGCAGAGGAGTGGCTTGTGGAGTGGTTTTCTGGTGGGGATGAGTGTTGCTATTTGGCCCCTGTTGCCACCTTTAATTGTCGGCGTTGATGCCAAAGACCGGATTAGTCTAAACTGTGTTGCGTGGGCCAAAACATACAGCCATGCACCCCGTGCCTTATAGGAACTTCTGACAGAGGTTACTACTCTGATATATGATAGCATTTGTGGTATCCCCAGGAGGCACCCACCCCATAACAGCCCACCCCTATACCCCGGGGGAGGACCAGTGTCTTCCCCATGCCTTCTGCCCCTACAGCTTCCCATCTGGATCTGCTTACTCCTTGGCCTTGGTTTTACACAGAACTTCTATTTTTTTAAAGACAGGGTCTGGCTTTGTCACCCAGGCTAGAGTGCAGTGGCGTCACCACAGCTCACTGCAGCCTCGTATTTCTGTGCTCGAGCAATACTCCTACCTCAGCCTCCCAAGTGGCTGGGACTATAGGCGCAAGCCACCACCCCCAGTTAATTTTTCTATATTTTGTAGAGACAGGGTCTCTTTTTCAGGCTGGTCTCAAACTTCTGACCTCAAGCGATCCTCCTGCCTCAGCCTCCCAGAGTGCTGGGATTATAGGCGTGGGCCACCACGCTTGGCCAGCATATGTTTGTCTAATCTTTCATTTCATATCCTCCAACAATGTAACTTTAGACCTGTAATGTATGTTCTCAGACTTACAACTCTTAAAGATATTATTGGCCTCTTACAATTTCACATCTGTTTTCTTGAGTCATGTCGTACATAATGGAAAACTTGGTTGTGAGCAGAACTGCAGGTCCTGTTTGCGCTGCTTCCTGTATTTCTCCTTCTTAGTCCCAAAACGTGTTCTGTGCAATTTGGGGCAACTTGCACCCTCCTGTCTGACAGTCAGCACTGTCACCATCCCGGTGTTCCTTAGTGTGAGGTCAAACCAGTAGAGGACCAGTTAGTCGTGTTTCTGTATACCGGGCAACACTGACGCCCTGGGTCTTCCTGGCTGGGGAGAGACTGCCCCGCCCAGGGCCAGGTCATTGCCGAGACAGTGACCCACTAGCTTGGGAGCACGGGCGTCATATGCCCATCTGCCAATCCAGCCCCATGTCCCCAGCCACTTCCTTTACCTCTCACATGCCAAGCCAACGTTCCCCACCCCTCAGCATGCCCAGGGCAAGGCACTAAACCACTAGGAACATCCTCCCTGCCCCTCAGCCTGCCAGTCCTACACTTTCCATCCTGCCCAGCCTGCTCAAGGCCGTGGCCTGTGCTGCCCCTTGCTGCTGCTTCCGCCTCCTGACCTTTCTGGCTGTGTTCACGTGCTCTACGTGTCGAGCCCCCTTCTCTGCGAACTGTTAAAGATCAACTTTTCCTTTCAGCCTCAAGAACCTCCGCGTAGTCACTCAGTCACCTTTTTGAGTTAACTTAGAGGCTCAGTGAACCCTTTCTCAGCTTTTCTTAATAGGTTTTACTACCTGTGTGCACAAGGTAGTAACAAAGTATTACCTACCTTAGGTGATTTCTGGACTGAAGCTGCCATGTGGAAACACTCGGTACAATTTCGTTCCTTCCCTCTGCACGTGGTCTACCTTCTCAGGGAATGACACTTCTCCATGTGGCTGTGTAGTGGTATCTCCCTAGGGCTTTAATTTGCATTTCCCTGATTACTGATGGTATGAACATGTTTTTACTTACTTTGGCTATTTAATGGTTTTCCTTTTTTGGGTGAAATACCTATTCACATCTTTTCCTGATTTGTCTAATATTGTTCTTTTAAAAAATACTTTGTAAGACTTTTATGGGACTCAGCATTTGTGAATTACAAGATTGCCGCAGTTCCAGTGTACCTGTTTTCACTCTTGTGACTGTGTTGTCAGGAAAAGGGCTTCCTCATTTTGGCGTACTCGAGTTTGTACAGCCTTCCCTTTATCTTGATCAGGAACTTTCTTTTACTTTAAGGGCTTAAATATCTTCTACCTCTTTGCCTTCCACAATTTTTATAGCTTTAGTTTAAAATTGATGTGCTTAATCCATCTGCAGGTGATTTTTGTTAATGGTGAACATATGGTCCATATGTCTAGTTTCATTTTTCCCCCATGGACATAAAATTTTGACAAGACCTCTTTCATTTTAATGAAGAAAATTGGTTTATTTAGCTCATAATTCTGGAGGCTAGGTAGTCCAAGAAACATGGCACTGGCCTCTGCCCAGTGTCAGATGAGGGCCTCATGTGGACAGGACCTCTACCTTTGGCGTGAGCAGTGGGAAGGGGGGGTGTCCTAATGCTCAGAGAGAGAGAGAATTAATTCCAAAGTTTTTTGTTTTCTTCATTTAGTTGCCCTCAGCCTTCAGGCAGTCCTGTGGGGGCAATGAGACATACCATCAACCTTGAGAAGCTGACTGTGAGATTGACCACCCTCCAGGTAGACTAGCCTCTAGTAGGGAAGTGAACAGCACTGCAACATCTGTGAAAGTGGAATTCACGCTGAAAGCACAGCCCACAGTGTTCACTGAAGCTTGCGTGCTGTACCAAACTGGGCCAGCTGCCCGATCAAGCAGATATCAACATTCTCCATAGGATTTAAAGACCCAGTGTGTCATAGCATAGTATTCAAAATGTCCAGAATTATTCAGCACAGCAGCACCAGAGCCTCAGGGGGCTGTGTGATGGGACCAACTGCCAGCTGAGTAACATTCATGACATTAGAGTCCTAGAAGAAAAGGAGTATGATGCAGTAAAAATACTTGAAGACGTAATGACAAAAAATTTCTCGTTTTTGGTGTAAGAAACTTACAGATGCAAGAAATCCAGTGAAACCAAAACATGATAATAAACTTACAGAAAGCTCAAATCTACCATCATGAAACTGTGAAAGCTGCAGACGGAGAAAACTTCGAAAGAAGGCTGAGAAAATTGACAACAATATTTATCTTAGAACAATTGAATTGGCTGTGGATTTCTCATCAGAAACCATAAAGGCCAGGGGGAAATTTAGGAACATTTTTAAAATACTGAAAAGCAAATGGCAACCCAGAATGTGCTATATTCAGCAAAAATATCCTTTAGGAATGAAGGTGAAATACAGATAAAACAGTACTAAGAATCATTGCCCAAAGACCTGCTTTAAATAAATTATTCAAGAAAGCTCTTAAGAAAGAAGAAAAATTAGACAAGAGGGAAAGTTGGATTATCCGGAATGAAGGAAAAGCAACAAAAATAGTAATCTTGAAAATACAATAAAGTATTCTACTCTTGATTTTTTATAATACATATGATTGTTGAAAACAAAATTACGACATGGGGATCTCAATTTATGTAGATTTAGTACATAAGACAACTGCAACATAATTATGAAGGGACAAAGTGACTTGCTTGGTGTGGAGGTTTGACATTCCATTTCAATGGTAAAATAGTCCACCTAGACTGAAAATTTTAAGTATGTTTATTTTAGTCCCCAAAAGAAATACAAGAGATACACTAAAAAGAATGTTAATTGAAAAAGACTACTAAAAAATGTTTAAATAGCCCAAAGAATAGTGATAAGGGGGAAGCAGAATAATGAAAAAAAGAGAGACCAAACAAATAATAATAAAATGGTAGAACTGGATTCTTATGTAATCAGAAACATCAAATGATCTACACATATCAATTAAAAAGTAGAGTAGATAAGAATTGACCCACTTATATGTCATCTACAAGAAACTCACTTCAAATACAGCGATGTAAGTTGGTTAATAGTAAAAGAATGGAAAAGTACATACCATGGAAACAGTAAAATGGGGAGGCTATATTGAACGTCAAGCAAAATAGACTTCAGAGCAAAGAAAATTACCACGGAAAGAAGGACGTAACAGTGCCAATAATAAAATAATAACAATCAATTCACTGAAAATACGTAAGTATCTGAAATGTACTCACACCTAACAACAGAGT